CTCAATGCTCACATCTCATTCAGTTCCAGAGCCACTAGATCAGGGGTGGGCCGAACCTGAGCCTGAGAAGGAGCCAGAATTTACCAATGTACATTGCCAAAGAGCCACAGTAATGTCAGCTTCCCCCCCACACACACACACCAGTAGCCCCATCGATCAGCACTCCCCCTTCCCCACACTGCCTGATCAGCTGTTTCGAGGCAAGCAGGAGGCTCTGGGGAGTGTGTGTGTGTGGGGGAAGCGAGGGCATGGCAGGTTATGGGGAGGGGGCAGGAAGTGGTGGAGTGGGGGCAGGGCCTGTGGCAGAGCCAGGGTGTTGAGCAGTGAGCACCCCCTGGCACATTGGAAAGTTGGTGCCTGTAGCTCCGGCCCCAGAGTCAGTGCCTATACAAGGAGCTGCATATTAACTTCTGAAGAGCCACTTGTGGCTCTGCAGCCACAGGTTGGCCAGCCCTGCACTAGACCACTTATAGAAGCATCTATTAAGATGAAGTAACAAAACAGGATGAGATGGTTTATCACAAAACCTCTTGAGAATTCAATTTGACAGGAAGTAAAGGGCACAAGGGGGTAAAAGTCTCAAAGTTCGGAGGGTTGATTGGGTGTATGAATCCCAACACACTGGTGGCTAGATTGGATCACAGAAGAGGAGAGATGATTTGAAGGAGCCCCATTGTAAAATATTGGCAACACATCAGTAAGTCTAATTAGAATTCTGTCACAGGAAACAAGAATCAGTCTAAACCTGTGGTTTATGAGTCATACTATATTTAAAAAAAAATGAAGCTTTAGCAAGTTTTAACCATACCTGAAACAGTAGAAGTTTTTTTAAGACATGAAATACCCTTTAAGTGTATTAAGGAAAAAGTAGTAATTGTCTTGACTGATTTACTAAGTAGTTTCAAATAAATCTTTATAAGAAAACTGCTTAGAATTGTTAGACCAGAATTTTAATTCAGAAAAAAAATTCTAGGTGGCAGCAAACATTGGAACGTGTACGTATTTCCACACAACCCAGGAAGATGTTCCCCCTTGTCAGATGAGCTAGAATTCTTGGCTTGATTTTGCTTCTCAATTACTACTGAAAGAGACAGCAATAAATACAAGTCTCCTAATCCGAGTGAGTACAAGTTTACCTCCTGGCTAAACTAGAAATACTTGTTTATTCTTAAGAACTGATAAGAACAGATACTACGCTTGATCTTAGCTCATAGAGAGCCGAGAATATTCCTGTCCTAAGATGCCTGAAATATTAGATACCACTTGAAATGTTACTTTATCATTACACTGGTAATAAAGTATTCAAGATTATTTGCTACATGTTTCCAACTGCATTACACATCTAGCTTTCTGCAGCCAGAACTTTCATTGATCATGTGGAATAGGGTGCTGCATGTTCTGCACTGCTGATACAGATCGAGCCCCCACTGTAATGCAGTATATTTGCACCATTGCGAACATCTAGAAGACATGGACACTGTCGTCGTCCCCCAATAAATATATATGGGCATTTCTGTACTCCAATATTAATATTCATCTGCAGTACCTCTTACAAGCTTAAATCTTTGTAGATTTGCATTATTCCATGACTGCATCTCTACCACACAAGGCAGTCTGAAGAGTACATCTGGAAGTAAACAAAGCCTAATTTTCTACAGATTTAATATTTACATCTTCACTGAAGATGACTTTATATTTTATACAATATAAAATATACATTTTATTCAAGACCCCCTCTAAAGCTATTCAACTTCTTATAAGTCTCCTCTTGACTGAAGTAACACAGAAGTTTGTGACCACCACCCAACTGAGCACATCAAAGCAGATAATTCAGTTATCACTCGGTCTAATCTGGATGCTTTCAACTGTTTTATTAATCAAGAACCACAAAAGGAAGAAAGAAGCTTTCTTGTTTTTCCTTCCAACCCTATTACTGCAGACAGATGAGCATACTCACATGATGGTGCAGACAAACTTGAGCTCAAATCCTCCTATAGCCCCCATAACTACAAGACAGTGCTGCATATTGATCTCACCCCCACCTCCCATCCTCCTTTTCCACACTTCACCATGACAACATCCCTGCGTCCTTCAGTCGAGTGGTGCAATGGCTTACCCCACACTCCAACATAGTGTCACACATAGATCTCCCACACCCAAACCTACTATCTCACTCCCAAGCACAGAGGTACGTACAGATCTCTTGTGCGTCAAGGGTTACGAGATGTATCCCCAGTTCCTCAACTCACCAGCACAGTGGTGCAGATGGACCTGAGCTCAGACTCCACCTTCTCCCGATAGTCCTTGACAAGCTGCATCTTCTTGTCGTTGGTGTCTGTTTTCTGCTCAATGCTAGAGATGACCCTCCAGGCAGAGCGCCGCCCCCCCACTACGTTCTTGTAGGCCACCGAGAGCAGGTTGCGCTCCTCGTTGGATAACTCAGCACCCTGTTCGGTTACTGCCTTCATGCAGGTGGCCATATCATCATAGCGCTCAGCCTGCTCAGCCAGCTTGGCTTTTTGGATCATCTCGGTCTTCTCCATGGTGGCTGGCAGTGGGGAAAGCACAGCAAGGCAGAAGGAGAGGCTAGGGCTGTCACACTGTCAAGAGGAAAAGGCACCTCAAAACCTGCAAGGGAGGAAACAGATTAGCCATGTCTCTGGGAGCCAAGAGCTGCAAAACACCACACTTTGCCCCTCCCCAAAACTGAGAAGACACCAAACCAACCATCTCCCCAGGAACCAAGAATCACTGGCCACACGGGGTCCCCACCACTACACCACCCCAAGAGCTATCCTGGGGAAGTGCACCCATCTCCAGAGCCTCTCAGAAAGGTTAATAACCCAGACCACCAGGACAGGAAAAAAGATAACATAATCTCTCCCCACAGGAGACCAATCTAGAGACCAGATGGTGGAAAGAGGCACTCCAGCCTCCTCAGAATGGCTTTTGTCTCCACCTCCACTTTCCTCCCTCTCACCCCTGTGTGCACTAGCAGGGCTTGCAGCCTGCGGTTAGTCAAGATATTAGGGGGGGGAGGGGAAGAAACAGACGGCTGGAAGTCATTAACCCAAAGGGGCCATCCCCAGGAGCCTTGCCCAAACCCTTCCCTCTAGGCGTGGGGGTCAGAGTGGTTTGTCTTGAAGGTGGGAGCACTAGAGAGGGGCAGTAGATGAACCACGAGCCCCAGGACAGACACAGGAGGACGAACAGGCGCAGAGGACACGGGGAGAAGGCGGTTACCTAGTGCGTGTCTGGAAACACAATGGCTTCAAAAAGAGAGAATCTGAGGGCAGGGGTAGCAATTCGTGCTCCCGCAGGGCAAGTATCCGTTCCGGGCGGATTGGGCAGACACGTGTGTGTGTGTGGGGGGGGGTGTCCCTGAGATGAGAAGACAGAATAAGGGAACCTTTGTCCCTTGGCGAAGGAGGGGGCGCGGGACGAGGCCGGGAGACCACGGGGAGCCTTTCCCTAGAGCAAAGAGAGGGGATGAGGCGCCAGCACTGGGGCAAGCGGATCCGCGTCCCCAGCGCGAGGCAAGGCGGCTTCACGTCCCACGCGGGGAAGCCCCTAGCCGAGTCTCCCTGGGGGGACACCGAGACTCTATCCCTCGGGAGAGGGCGGGGACGGGGGAGTCCCATCCCCCGGGGGGGCGCGGCGAACAGGACTCGCTCAGGCAGGGTGGGTGGGGTCTGCAGGCTCAGGCCAGAGCGGGCGGGGGGAAAGGCAACTCTGTCCACGCCTTGGGCCCGGCCCTGCGCTCTCCCGGGGAGAACGGGGCTTGGCAGCTCTCTCCGGGGCAGGGCACGATCCCTGCCCGGGTAGGCAGGAGGAGCTGCCCCCCAGGGGGGCCCGGACGAAGGGGAAAGCGTGGTGTCCCGGCGGCCCCGCCGGGCGTGAAATGGCGGCGGCGCTGGCGGCATCTCCCGCTCCCCGACGCGGCTGGGGACTCCACGCCGCTCTCACAAAATGGAGGACGCAGCGACCCCTCTCATCCCCGTGGTCGACCTCAGCCCCCACTCACCTGGGTCCGCTCCGCTAGGCCGAGCCGGCTGGCGCCGCTAGATCGGGTGCGCTCCGCTCGGGGCTGGGGCGAGGAGAAAGAGCCGCTCCCGTCTCAAGCGAGAGCCAGCGCTAAAGGGCGTTGGCACAAGCAACCCTACCCGCTGCCAGACCCGCGCTCACACGGCCAATCCGAACGCCTGCTCCGAGCCGGGGCCCACCCTCCGCGTGATATTAGCCAATCAAGACTTAGCGCGCCGTCGCGGGGGCGGGCACAGGCAGGGCGCAAGCTCGGTTGGCCCGTGGGCTGCGGCTGGGGCCACGGGGTTTCCTCCAATTACATCCAGGGTGAGCTGACGTCACTGTCACCATGGTGATACTGCTACAACCCCCCTCCCTTCCACGCCCTGCCCTGGCACTAGGAGCCAAGTCTGGGCGCGGCACGAGACAGTGCGGAGGCGCGGCTGGGGCGGCTCGTGCTGCTGCGGTTGGGAGGGGGAGAGGGAGACTCGGAGGCCGGAGAGCGGGTGGGAGCGTGGGAAGCTGGGTGTGGGTGTTGCTCGGGGGAGCGTGCACCGATAGAGGGGAGCTGGGGGTGAGTGCTGAGGGGGGAGCACGCACTGATAGAGGGGAGCAGGGCGTGGGTGTTGTACAGGGAAGCATGCGCTGATAGAAGGGAGCTGGAGGATGGATGCTGAGGGAGGAGCATGCACTGATAGAGGCGAGCTGGGGGAACGCTGATAGAGCAGAGCTGGGCGTGGATGTTGCACAGGGAAGTGTGCACTGATAGATGGGTGTTGAGGGTGGAGCGTGCAATGGTAGAAGGGAGCTGGAGGATAGATGCTGAGGGGTGAGTGTGGACTGAAAGAGAGGGAAGTGGGGTGGTGCTGAGGGTGCAGCGTGCACTAATAGAGGGAGAGCTGGAGGATGGATGCTGAGGGGGGAGCATACACTGATAGAGGGGAACTGGGTGGTTGCTGAGTGGGGAGGGTGCACTGTTAGAGGGGAACTGGGGATGGGTGTTGCACGGGGATTGAGTGGAGCTGGGGTAGGTGCTGCAGTGGGTGGGTAGAAGTGATGGAATGTACTGAGAGAGTTATGACTGGAGGGTAGGGAGGTGGATGTGAAGGCTAGTTAAGTGTCAGTGCTGTTGGAAGTTTAGGGTGCTGTGGAAGTAGGTACTGGGGTTCAGAATGCTACTGAGGATATGGCAATGGGTATTGAAGGGCCAGTGAGCTGCTGGAGATGGGTTCTGGGGTAGTTGGGAGCTGTTATAGGCATTGGTGGCTTCTGGGATGCATGGGGTGGTGGATGGTATTGCTAGACAATAGGGTCTACTCTACAGGTAAGTGTGACGGAAATGGGTGGGTGATGCTGGACAGATTTGGTGCAAATGTGCTTGGGGAAATAATAGATGGGTGTTGGGAGGTGTGCAGAATGAGTGTGTGTTGCTGGTTGGTAGATGGGAGTTAGAATGTGTTGGGGGGATGAATGGGAGATGTGAGGAAATGAAAGAAGCTTTAAAAATTCAAAAATTATTTTCTCCTCCACCTCAACAATAGTCTGTTTCTGTCCTGGGTTTTGATGATGATCAGCAGGAGAAGTAAATGAGCAAGGTTTTTAGGCTTTTTTTTCTCTTGTGGATTTTGTGGGGATAGTGGATGAGGGGGTATTTCAAGAGGGGTGTAGACTTGAGTGGATAAGTTTATCTTTTTCCTTAGGTGGAGGTGAAAGATCCATAGGACAAATAAAAAATAGTGGATTGAGTTTTCCTTGATTTTAGGCCTTGTCACCAATCTTTGACCTCTCAGGGGCAGAAGCGTGGGGTTGATGATGCAGACAAGAACTCCTCTCTTGCTAACAGTTAGACACTCATGATGGAGGGAGTAATGTCCTTTTGGAGGGGTTGGTCTGGGGTAGGAGGAGTTTCCTGGGGTAAGAGGAGGGGCCAGGTAGGAAAGGGGTTGGGATAAATTCCTCCCTGTTTCTTAACCTAATGATGGCATTTTGAAGATGTTTGGTAATCTTTAGTATAAAAGCAAGAGCCTCAGGAAAAGGGAAGGAGGGATGGATTTTTTTTCTCTCTGCTGATTGGAAGATAGGGGATTAATAGAAATGGGTTTTGCAGCCAGCCCTGGAGATCCTTAACTGCCATAGCTGGTTGTCAGAATATGTCCCTTCAGGGTGTCCAAGAAGGTGGAACAGCTGTGCTGTGCACTGTGGATACAAAGGCTTGGAATGAGGGGCTTGGTTGTAAAGCTTAGGGTTCTTTGATCCCTGTGGTAATGGGTTGGGGAGACAAGGCAGGAAGAAATCCTGGTTTAAACAAGAAATTGTTTAGTTTCTATTCCATTGGTTCATCTAGAGGTTGGGGATATTGGTGGACAAATATTCCAATCTTATGCTTATACATGCTGTTATATATAAGATTGATGGTTAATAAAGTGTCATCCATCCATGATTTAATTAAAGATGACCTCTGCCCCACCAGTCTTGCATGCATTTCTTAAATGCTGATTGAATGATCCTGCTGGACAAGTTTTGGCATAGTTGATTCTAGACAAGCATTGGGTACAGCATGAGCCTAAGAGGAAGTGACGAAGCGATACTGTGGATGTGTTCTTTGTAGCCAATCTGAAATGCAGGAGGTCTCCTACCTCAAAGCTGAATTAAATGCATACTTGTGTGAGTCCTGGGATTTATTCTAATGGGCAAATCATCCTGCTGCATTGCAAAGTCCCTGCATGAGCTAATACAGGTTCTCACCACAGTGGTTTTGGAATCGTCAAAGATGACAACGCTCAGTAACTTAAACATCCATCTCCGAGGATGAGTTTTCTATATCAGCTCAGGATTTCATGGATACCATGGAGATGAAGGAATTATTGTCTCAAATTCTTGATTTATTGTGTGGCTAGGACTGGAGATTAGGCATTTGGATATTAAATCTATGTCATGGACTAATCATTACCTACCTCTTGTGGTTTGAGTTTAGGACTCATCTATTCTCCACAAGGTACTGGTTGATAATACACCCTATGAAGTTAATGGAATGGGAACTCTTCCAGAAGGCCCAAAGGGAAGATATGACACATTCAACAGACTTCGGGACTTGGTAGGATTTATGTTAATCTACTATTTTCAGCCATTGATGGGGTGGCCTTAGTGCCCTCGTCTTCAGCTATGTCCTCACTGATCACCTTGATTTACAGATGAAGTGAGAGTGAAGAATGTTAGAAGAACACCAGTGATGGAAGTCATGGGCTGAAACTGACCAAGTGCACTACAAAAGCTTTTTGAATTCTTACATCGTGGCTCTGAAGGAGACAGACAAATGTCTGCATCATGGTGTCTGCAAAGTGCTGTTCAGTCGATTTTGAATTATAACAGTTGGGTTAATCCAAGCTATCTTTATTCAATGGCCCAACTCAAAAAGGTTAGGAAATGCCCAAATTAAGGTTGCCCATGCAACTTTAATTTGGTCCTCTTCTGTGTATGCATTATGATACACTTCTTAATTACATGATCACGTACTGTTTTTCCACAGGACCCTGACCTAGTCAGTGCACTGGGAGGACGGTGTTCAGAGAATGGGTAACTATTCAGTATTTCTTTTCATCCTCATCATTCAGTGTGTAGTCCCATGCATTGTTTAGTGCATGCCTCCCAAACTCTGCACTGAATACAGAATTGTTAATTTCCTCATGGGCTTTTCTATGATGCTGTCATTGTCATAGCTTAGTTCTTAACAAACTTTAACGAGTTTATCTTCAAAACCTTCTTGTGACGTGAGCTGTTATTGTTTGTCCCCATTTGACAGATGAGGAAATGAGATTTGGAGATAAAAGTAAAAAAGTTAACAATTTTGGGTACCCAATTTGAGACACGCAGGTCCTGATTTTTCAGAGTACTTAGCACTAAATAGCACTTTGTGTTCAGAGCAGAGCTCCCATTGTTCTCAGTTTTAGTTGTGAATGGTCAACACGTCTGCAAATCAGACCTCAGCTGTTTCAAAATTAACATCCAGAAAATGAAGAACACACAATGGCCACCAATGAAAACGGTGTAATTTCTCAGTATCCCATAAGAACTCTGGCAGAAGCAGAGATCTAGTTCTCAGGATGGCATTCAACTGCCTTAACTTTGAGACCCTCCTTTCTCTTCCTGAAGTTCTCTGCTTCATTAACTACACATCTTCCAAAGGAAGTTGGATGGGGTGGGAGTGGACGTGCTCTGCGACTGTAGGGCCTATTTCCGTTTTCTTGTACAGTAACTCCTCCAAGCAGATTTCCTCTGGGCAGTCTTCACTGAATTCATCGATGCCTTTGAGAAGCAGAGGGTGCTGTTGGGGGCTCTCTGCTCAGTGTCCTCTTCTGGTTACCAGATTTTTATCCTATGACCTTCACTTCCACCCCTGTTTTTTTATTTGTTGTCACCAGTGTTCATTTGTGGCCCAGGTCGACTCGTCCTTCCCCTCAGATGAGGGGGAAGCCCTTTAGCTATGTGCGGGCTTAGGCCCACCATCCCCCCCCAGGTCCACAATAGACATGCTCGTTCCAATTTCTGCAACAAATTAAATGAGTCCTATGTGAAGTCAGTAGCCTCAATCACTATGCAACCATGATTAATTCCCAGAGCAGATCCAGCATTTGCAGTGAATGAAAGAAGAGTTTTGTGGAAAAAATAGTACGTGATCATATAATTAAGAATTGTCTCACAATGCATATGCACCAGGGGGCTAAATTAAAGTCACATGAGCAATGTTAATTCTGGCATTTCCTAACTTTTGAGTGCTTGACTTTGCAACCTTAATAATGCTCTTTTAAGAGCATAAGAACAGCCATACTGGGTCAGACCAATGATCCATCTAGCCCAGAATCCTGTCTTCCGACAGTGGCCAATGCCAGATACTTCAGAGGGAATGAAGAGAACATGCAATCATCGAGTGATCTGTCCCCTGTTGTCCTCTCTCAACTTCTGGCAAACAGAGGCTAGCAACATTCAGAGCATGTGGTTGCATACCTGACCATCTTAGCTAGTAGCTATTGATGGACCTATCGTCCATGAATTTATCTAAGTTCTTTTGTGAACCCTGTTATAGTTTTGGCCTTCACAACATCTCCTCGTGACGAAGTTCACAGGTTGACTGTGCTTTGTCTGAAGAAGCATTCCCTTTTGTTTGTTTAAACCTGCTGCCTATTAATTTCATTGGGTGACCCCGGATTTTTGTATTATGTGAAGGAGTAAATAACATTTCCTTATTCACTTTCTCCACACCATTCATGATTTTTATAGACCTCCATCATATCCCCTCTTAGCTGTTTCTTTTCCAAGCTGAAAAGTCCCAGTCTTTTTAATTTCTCTTCAGATGGAAGCTGTTGCATACCCCTAATTATTTTTATTGCCCTTCTCTGTACCTTTCCCAATTCTAATGTATCTTTTTTGACAGGGGGTGACCAGAACTGCATGCAGTATTCAAAGTGCAGGAGTTTTTTAAATGATTTCCTATGTTTTTTGAAAACTTAAAAATTGAAAAAACAAATATTTCACCATGTGGAATTATGCTGACTTCCTCCCCCAGTGCACACTCAGCATAGTTGGGATATTTAGATCTGCAGCACAGTCCTCTGACACTTGAGCTAATGGAATAATGGGTAGCAGTAAAAGACTGTTATTTTCCTGTGTGCCTCTGCATCTAGAGGGGAATGGGGACACACACATTGCCAGTGGGTTTCCCTGCCTTTTGCTACACAGTAAAAGAATGTTGAGATCCAGGAATTGTGGGTTTAATTCCAAGTTCTGTAAGGGAATGTGCTGTAGTGGTTACAGACCTTTTTAACCTTGCTTCCCCAGCCTTTCCCTATCCCTTTCTGCTCCTGTCTTCCCCTCCCTCTGCTCTGTCATGTTCCCATCTCCCTGTTCCTTTTTTCCCTCCATCCAGCTATTATACCTCTTCTCCCACGCTCTCCTACCCTACTCTGCTTATGCCCATGTCCCATCCCCTCTCCTGATTCTTGCTCCTAACCCCCCCCTTCCTGTCTCCCTGTTCCTCACCCCACTACAGTTGAATCTGGTTGCTCTCTTCCACACTGCTTGGGTTCCACCAAGGGGAACACTCAGACAACAGGAGAGACTGGCTCTATGACCTCAGTTCTGGCACCATAACAGTCCCTAGCAGCCAGGAACAATAGCAGGTAAATTTCTGCTCAGTCCCTCTTGCCCCAGGATTGAGCCTGCTCAGTTACCATGCGAGGATGGTATGTGCACAGTCTAGTTGACACTTAGAAGTTGTGAGGGGTGGAATATGCTAGTGTAAAAAGAATCTTCAGAGAATGTAGCTGCCAAGCTCTAACAAATCTCTACTGAGCGTGTGTGAACTGAGATGTTTCAGAGGCTTATAACTTGGCCAAATTTAGGTGGATTTTCACAAGAACAGCAAAAGGTACATCCTCAAAATGAGGGTGACCCCTGTGCCAAATTCAAGGCCCTGCTCTGATGCCTGAGATGCTAGAGCTTCTCAATGAAACGGTTGTAAGACTGTTGTTAACATGTGAAAAACAGGTATTTGTCCTTAATCTCATTCTGAGAAATGGCTGAACCATTCTAACTGAAATTTGCCAAAAACATTCAGCCTGAGGCAGACACCTTGCATGGAAAATCTCAGCCTTAGTCAGCATAAGTTTAGCAAAATTATAAACAACTGAAAACAGACTCTTATGCTGGAAAGTGTCAGGCAACCTTAAATATAGATGCGCTTCCTGCATCACTTATATCTTATCCAGTTGAGCCACTGCTGCTGAACCCTAGCCAGTGCCTACTTGGGACTTAGGCATGGATGAGAGCTGGTTGCATGAAGCTCACTGGATAAGACTGACATGATGCTGATAGGCTGAGAGAAAGAACTGGAAGATCTGGCAAGGGTTATTTTGATCCTTCATTGGAGGGTTTATGCTAGTCCTTTGTAATCAGAGTTTGCAAGCTGGGGATATTGTTACATCATATACAACAGTGATCAAGAAAACTCTCCTCAGTCTCCAACAGGCCTGGGGGATATAATTGTTTCTTTTAGTTGCAAACCTTGCTACTATAATCTATGCTTTTGTCTTCTCAAGACTAAATTTTACCTTAAATCAGCCTGGAAACTGAATGCAGCAGCTGACTTATAAAGCAGTGCATCTTGTTGAGAGCACCAGTTCATCAGAATCTGCACTGGCTACCTATTAGTTTCCTGTTGAATTTAAGGTGTTAATGTTGTCCTATAAAGCCTGAAATGACTTGTGATCTAGCTACTTGAGTGACCTCTTCCCCATCCCCCGCATCAAATACTGCGATGGCTTAAAGTATAAAAGAGAGGGAGTTGCCAGCAGAGCATTATCTGTTTGGAGCCCTCAGGTTTGTAACCCACACCAGTAACACAAATCTGTTGAAGTTCGGGGCAAATGCAAGATCCACTCTTTATGCAGGCTTTTGGAGAGGGTAGGGTGTAATGCAGACTGGCATTTGTGGGCAAAGTGAAGTTAGGGTTACCATACGTCTGGATTTTCCCGGACATGTCCGGCTTTTGGGGGCTCAAATCCCCGTCCGGGGGGAAATCCCCAAAAGCCGGGCATGTCCGGGAAAATCGGGAGGTCAGCCGGGCCGG